TATATTTATAGTATATATCGTATATATAGTATATATAGTATATATATAGTATATATAATATATATAATATATAGTATATGTATATACGTGTATTGTCTGTTATGTGTTATTATGTGCAGTATACGCACGTGTCGTATTCAAATAGATGTATACAAGTATAAAGTATTTATAGTCAAATATTAGAACCGCGATTGGTATCAAACTGTTCTATATAATTGTTCAGAAGTTCCTTTTTCCTTTCTCTCTCTCTCTCTATCTCTTTCTCCCTTTTTTTTTCTTTTTTTAGGTTTTTGTATGCTGTCACAAAAGTTGAAAGTGGTTAATTCTCAGCACGAGAGCGTGGATTAAGCCGTGTGAATGTCTGTTTTTTTTTTTAACCTACCTCGTCATTTTTGTTACACGATTACAAGAAACGTTTATATTTATTGTCTTTATATATATATATATATATAATTAGAACCCTTAAGCTCATTCGCATAACGTTCGCATGGCAAATCAACACTAGAACTACCAAGGGCTAAAGCACAAGAATTTTCGTCAGAGATATTCCAACGAGAAAAAGGAAACGTAGAAGAACCGTAAAATACAATAGAACACGCAAGCTTTTGTTCATACATTTTATAAAAAAAAAAAGAGATCATTTAAATCTCTGGAGATACATCTGTAATACGTCCAACGAAAATTTTCAGACCACCTCGGTGGTTCTAGCGTTCTAACGATAAAAACACAATATATATCCCTCCTTTGTTTCAAGTAAAACGTTTCGTTTTGTTCGTTCGACAGTTGTGTTACCCTTGATATGTTCGTCTAACAAGAGTTCTTGCTCGAAAAGTAAAAGTTACAACGTAAGTTTTTGCGGCCCGCTCAATCGAGTGCTTAAGGGTTGAAAGTTAAAACAATTGCACATGCAATCGATACACACAAAGTTCGAATATAAGCACACTGAACAGGATGTCAACGGTGCGTTTTCATCTTTTATTTTTTTTTTTTTTTTTTTGTCAAAAAGAATTTTACTTTTGCATGCACAATTATCGGTAGTTTATTCTCCGTGTGTGAAAAAAAAAGAAAAATTGAAATCGCATCCGTGTCGATTGCACGTACAGATTACAAGAATATCTCTTAACAATAATTATTGTCTTCGGTACAGTTCCGTTGATTATACTTTATTTATATATTTATATATTTATATATTTATATATTTATATATATATTGTTAAAATTTTCAAAATATTAGTCTTTCTATTTTATTGTCAAGTTCAAATAAGGCGGAGAAAACCAGAGCACTGTCTCTTCTATCATTGGATTGAATTAACGATTGTATCATTGCAGGTGAATATTTGTATTCGAAGAAAGAAACGACGCACTTGATGGAAGAAATAACATGATAAATAATGGAAGAAATAACATGATATGTTAAATTGGAAAGAACGTTCAGGCTCAAGTAACTCTCGTTATTGTTTAACTTAGTTTGAATTAATTAAGTATAGTTGCAAGAGGTAAAGTATCATTTATAATACGACTTAATTCTAATATTTGCTTAAATAATTACAAACGATACTGCACATGATCTCCCATAAATAGAATAGCAAAAATTTTCTCATTTCTAAAGGAACATTGTATTTTTCAGATTTTTTTTGGAGAGAGTTTATCCTAGCAGTCTCCTTATTGTCATAATACTTCTGAACAGACAAATTCAATCAGTCAATTTATGAGAAAATAATATTCACGTATTACAACTGCACTGCGGTCTTTTATGCGTTTGTGAATTTTTACCTAAATTAAAAAGATCCGTTTTGTCTATCTGTTGTATCTCTTGGGTATCTCTGTATGTTTTACACGTATTACATTTTTCCCAGCAAATGCGTAAAACTGCAAAGCAATTAACACTGGCAACATTGTTGACAATGAACGTTCTCACAATCGAGAAGATAGACATAGATACAGAATAAGAGCGCAAGTCTTGCTCGTGTTTTCTCCGCTCAGCGACACAAAGGTGCGATTACGTTGCCGCTGCAGCCATATTTTCAGAGATAGTATTAAATTTACATATGTATTTTGGAAGATTCTACACAGGCAACACGGTCACGGCCGCGCAATTAAATCTGTGCGAGTTTTAAACGAATTAAGAAAATATACATTCTGTAGCGTGTTGTCGAAGCCGTTCTCCCTGTGGTTTACGACTTCCCATCAAAATTCATTCTATTTATTGACTTAGCTTGTTTGCACGAGCGTAGGTAAAACACA